TTACGTTAAAATTAATTTAAATGGAATAGCAGTTAACACAATATAATAGCACTAATTAAATATAATTAAAAATCATAAATGCACGTTACGATTATCTTCCGTACGCTTACTCCATGTTTGCACAATCACACTACGTACAGACTGTTTCCAGTCTTCGATTCATACTTCACACATTATAGTATATTAACGTAAGCTATTGAGTGAGTAACTGCAAAAACTTCGTACGTACTGTGACGATGCAAAACTCGTGGTAAGGACAGGACACGCCTTCAAATACATACATAATAAAAGTTTACTACATGTGTAACTCACTCTGTAAATATAGAAACGGAATTATTAAAGTTTTTGTAAGGATTTATAATCAGACACATTTATTTATAGACATAATACTAAAAACACATACATATATTTTTATATCCTTCTTATCTTTTCCTGCATGCGAGTTATTTCTGTTCTAAATCATAAATAAATAATATTATCGTCTGGTTAGCTAATACTGAGATGTAATATAGAAATGTTTTTATGTTATAATAAATCGTTGGAGAGGCTAAGCTGATTTTGATGAGATTTACACAGGTTATTTATTTATTTATTATATACCCCCAGTCTTGCATTTTTGCAAGAACAAGAGCAAGACCGATTTTGAGCAACACATAAACAAATCTTTCTTATGACCACACAAAATTTATGAATATTGTTCATTTCAAAATAACGTAAATCTTTGTACTGTTTTCTATACATAGATTATTTTATTCCTCAAACAAAGCGGCATAATAAATAAATCCTAATTAATTATGTGGAGACAGAATCATGCTTCAATGAGTTACATAAGAACTATATCTTGTTTTTAATGATTTTTCTTAATATTTTTATTACATAATATTAATTTTGGACTACGAGTTTAAAGGCCCGCTTCTCATGCATGAATGCGGGTTCGATCCTGGCAAGTACCAATGTGGTTTTTCCGAGTCGTATGTACTTTATAAGAGTATTTAGACACCACTGATTGATGAAGGAAAACATAATGAGGAAACCTGGTCTTATAATTTCAAATCATAAGTTTGATCCCGCCAATCAACCTTGAGCAAGCGTGGTGATTAATGCTCAAACTTTCTTCATGTGAAGAGGTCTTTGCTCAGCAGTGGGCGCTGATAGGCTGATGAAGATGTTTATTTCGCTGGATTTATAAGGTCGAGCGCTGACCTTGACCTCTGTTGTTATCACGTTATCAGTACTACATAGTTTCGAAACTAAACAATACCTTCTAACACTCATACTTCCCAAGGTTATTCGTGTTTCATATATAAAGGATCTTGTCTCTTGAGTATGTATGGTAATATTAATTATGTATTATCTTGTATACGTGGGTTGTATCTATAGTCACCACGCTTCAGATGCGTGCTGATATGATAACAATCCTGATAGATAATCCACGCCCACACCACCAGTCGGAGTTTAGAACTCCAACCTGTTAAACGCATCAGAATTCATACTTGGAGACAGTTAAAGAATACCTTAATTCAACCAGTTATACAGAAAATAGACTAAGTCGTGGTTAGATTAAAAATAAGTGATTTTTATAATTTTCTAGTTTCACAAGTCGTGGTTAGATTAATTTATAAGTGATTTTGATAATTTTCTAGTTTTATATCACTGCAGCATTGCTATATATAACTGTGTTTTAATAATATCAACAAAGATAAGATTCATCTCATCTCACTAAGAGATTGTTTCAGTGTAGTGTGTTGTGTTATAATATAAGATGCCGACGCTTATAATAGAAAAGTTTTTGGTTACTTTACATAAATTCGTGAGTATTGAATTCTACTTATATATTGATAACTACATAGTTTTTGCCTGTGACTTCGTCCGTGTTCTTTTCGGAATTAGTGATATATGTATAGCTGACCAGACGAACTCTGTTACGCCCTAGAGGACGTAAATAATCATATATTGGAGTTTATTCAGTTTTTTTTGTTTCGATAGAATAGAATTAAATATCCTATGTCCGTCTCCTGGTTCTAAGCTATCTTTTTGCAAATTTTCAACCATTTCCTTAAAGCCTTTTTTGAGTTTTAAATAGTGTAACTAACACGCCTTTCTTTTATATTTTATATGTAGATTGTAATTAATGCATGTCCAAAAAAACTTTTAAATCAAGTTGTCTAGCCTAGTATTTAATTAAATAATATTTATTTCTTGTATAATATATATAAAAATAAGTTTTTCTTACGCAATATCCATACTAATGAGTTAATATAATTGTAATGCCTTTTATTCTATAACAATCAATACTCGAAAACCATAATAATTTAGTGATGTTTTCATACAGTGAAGTTTGTGGTCATATTATTTGTATATTAAATATATTCTTTTCAAATAGGTCATGGATTGTGAAGTAAAATATTTTTGGCAGAAAGTTATTTTATATAATCATCTTCTTCTACCTGACAATTTCCTAAGTTTAGCCAGGGTCTGCCTTACATGTTGTGAATAGTTTTGGCTAATTGTTTTTAAGACCGGCCGCCTGCCTGACATCAACCCTCTTTGGGAATATTTTTTTTTATAAAATATTTAATGAGATCTAAGACTTTCGCGAGTATTCATTTAAATTAAACTAATATTAATGCGGATATACTACGCGACATTATTTTGTAAAAAAAAAACTACATACATACTCCCGACGTTTCGGTTACTAATCAGCAACATTTCTTTTATATAATATTTGTTTGTGGAATGTTATTGAAGTGTATTGACGCCAGTAGTTCGTATCATGTGTAGATGTGTATCTTGTTGGAGTGCGCTATGCAGAGAATGACGATAGTGGAAATATTTAAAGTACTCCCGCACACGGGACTGTCCTGATTGTACGCTACTTGGAACTTTACCTTGGAAAAATTATTACGTGGTTATAGAAACTGTAATGTACCAAAAAAACAAGGATTATAGTTTTAAATTTAACTATTCAATCCCAAACTAACTATTAAAAACTCATCTCGTCTGTCCGTGATCACGGTTGCTGTAAAGTAACCGAAACGTCAGGAGTATGCTGTTAAAATAATAAAATACGCGTAGTAATCCGAAAATATTAGTGCCATTTAAACTACTAAATATAAACCATTAAGTTATTCGTATAATTTAAATTAATTTCTTTGTCTATCTTCAAAAATAATTGAAATGACGTTGGTTGGAATAATATCAAAAGTTGCCAATTATGTGTTGTATATCCTGAATTGATCGCCGTGACCTATAATAATTGAATGGATAATTAACAAACAATGTTCCTAGCGCCATAACAGGCATGAGTCCTGGGTGCTGGCCAAGCTAGGATGCGTCACACGTGGAGCAAGTTTGAAGAACTGCTCGTGATCGAAATATTACATTAACTATGACTATAAATATAATAATAAAAGAATCGGTACAACATTTAAACTATCGTGAAATAAATGTAAAATAATTTCGATTTCGGTCGATTTTAATGAACCAGAATCGGCGTGTTTATGATCGGGAAACCGATTTTATTCCCGGTCGATTTATTAGTCTTTGATCATTGGTTATTTATTTAATGGCTTACCAAAAAAACCGATATAAATTATTTTCATTTTATTATATGATTGCTATATTAATAAGATAATTATTTTTTCCGCCACAGTCCGCTCTCTCGCTTGTTTGCGCCGTGTCCCGTCCGCAGGAAATGGGGCTGTATTCACTTTGATTGTCATTGTAATTTATGTATAGTTGGATGACTGTTTCAACCAGTCACTTCTTTACTGTCAAACAGACACACAGTATTGTTGTATAGAAAGAAAAAACAAATAAACCAAGTTATTGTTACTCGAAAAAACAATTGAAGATTGAAAACATTTTTTTGTGTTGAATTACTCTAAGATCTATCTTAATAGTTTCATATGAATTTATACGTAAAAAGTTTTTTTTTGCAAACTATTCTGGACATAGCAACAATGCTGAAATAATTGAAAACGGTGTTTTTTAATCCGAAATAAAATTCTTTATAGCTACCACTGTGTGCTCGTGAGCGTTTTTTATTGCTAAAGTAAAAAGTTTTACGAAATGGTCGTGTGGTATACTGACGAAGACGAGGTATTTATATATACATAAGGACATTTCATATTCATATATATAACCTATTTTAGTATATAATTATATTATAATAGTAATTTTCATTATATTTTAATATTATCTATATATTTTTTTAAACTGTCTATTTTGAAAGTATTGTCATGTAAAGAAATTTTAAATATTACTTAAATGTCCATGTATGTACAGACGCTGTCAATTGTAATTTATAAGTAAGCATTGAGAACGTAAATGCTCTCTAGAATTTTCTTTTGCTTAGTAATACGAGTATGAACAGTGATGAGTTAAAAACTTTAAAAAGAGTTCAGTTGAGGTAAATAATTAATTTTGTTGCAATATTTATATTAAATATATTATTTTATAATAATAAAACAGGAAAAATAGTAACTGTCTCAATTATATGTATATGATACTATTTTAAATAGTTTTTCACTATAAAAAGTATTTCAATTTTTATTCTCACGCCTAAACTTGTTCCGTACATAGATGTACGTACGTGTACTTTTTCTCGGAAGATTCCGTCGGCGCCTTCAATTGAATGCATCTTCTCGTTTATTATTTATAAACTTCTCGGAAATATATTTTTATCCAATAAAAAGAAATTTGAGCTCATTTAATCTGTATCGAGCAGTATATAAATAGTTTAACATCAAATTAAATACATAGACATAAATGTATATATAAATATAAAAGTATTACTTATATACTATAAAAATCAATAAGTTCTTTTCTAGGACTAAATCAAGTATGATATATAACCCATCTCCCATCAATAATAATCGTAAACTTTCCCAAAAAAAAACATTAATTGTTTTCATATTGTAATCTGTTCCTATCAAGACTCCATGTCTTCAGCATCATATATCCATGAAGAGGTGATTATATTTGTATATTTGTTTCAGAGCGAGCAGTCTTCCCCGTTTCGTCGATGGACAACTGGAGGCAGCGCCGGTAGTTCGTACAGACACCCAGACCATCGAGGTCTATATAATAAGGTTTGCAATACACAAATATATATGTACATACATAAAAGTCAGTGGTGGCCTAGTGGTTAAAGGGTCCGACTCTCGTTGCCGAGGGCGCTGGTTCAAACCTGGCAAGTACCTATGTGATTTTTCGGAGTCATATGTACTTTCTGAGAGTATTTAGACACCACTGACATACGGTGAAGGAAAACATCGTGAGGAAACCTAAACTTATAGTTTCACAATTATAAGTTTGAAATCACCAACCCGTCTTGAGCAAGCGTGGTGATTAATGCTCAAACCTTCTCCACGTGAGAAAGAGGCCTTGCTCAGCAGTGGGCGTTGATAGGCTGATGACGATGACGATGACGATGACATAAAAATCATAAATTACGAGGGCGCGGGTTCGATCCTGGTCCTGGCAAATACCAATGTGATTTTTCCGAGTCATATGTACTGTGAGTATTTAGACATTACTGACTGATGAAGGAAAACATCGTGAGGAAACATGGACTTATAATTTCGAATTAATAGTTTGAAATCTCCAACCCGTCTTGAGCTGCGTGGTGATTAATGCTCAAATCTTCTCCATGTGAGATGAGGCCTTTCAGCAGTGGGCTCTGATAGGCTGATGATGATGAATGATTATAAAAAAACTATTAAGAAATCAGAATGCTTCAAATATTTAAAGATATGAGTTGATGGTAGATCAACTTTTTCAACATTTTGTAACTTATAATGAAAAAGGCTTAGAACTTGCTTATTTTAAAATTGATAAATTAATTTTCGTAGCCGTGATCATTGCAAGATTATTTTAAATGAAAACAAAAATATTATTTAATCGTTTTGTTGAGTGAACATAAAAAATAACATTATAGTAACAGTATAACAAGAACGACCGTTACTAAGGATCGTGTAACAGGAATTTTAACTCATTCAGTTAAATCTCAAGTTCAAAACATTGACGTGTGTCATAATAATATATGACTAGCTAATTTTAAATAATTTAATAAGAAAATTACAAAACAAGATGAGATCGTAATTTATATATTATTTATTTAAATACTACAATATAACTGTTACAATTCCATTGAAATTAACCGCAGCAAAACAAACGCGAAATAATGAGGTCGAATGATATCGTCCAAATAAAACAGCATTTAGCATTCTGTTATATTATTTATAAACATGAATCATTATACTCGGAAACTAGCATTGTTTGAACTTGACTTAGAGATAAGTCTAACGAAATCACAGTCACATATAGTTGGTCTTATTCTGCATTATCTTTGATAGCAAATGAGCGAAGGGTCAGCGCCAAGCCAGTCTGGTTCAGCTAAAGGCGGCGTGGCTCGATGGTCGTTGGGCCTGGAACAACTGCTGGCTGATCCAGCAGGGGCTGCGGCCTTCGCACACTTCCTGGATAAGGAATATGCTGCTGAGAACATTCGGTGAGTGGATGGTCCTATAGCTCAGTTTACAGAAGGGCGGTAAAGTTATAATGATATACAGGTTCGATTTTGTGCCCAGAATGGAATTGATATCTGTTTGCATACGAAAAGAAAGTCATTATAATGGGTCAAATAATATAAATAATATATCTAATTGATAAATGAGTTATTTTAAACAACTAAATTAGAGTTTAGACCAAAATATAATACGTCTCTATTTCTGTATAGATTCTGGTGGTCGTGCGAGCAGTACCGTCTAAGCGGAGCGGAGGCCGAGCGCTCCGCCCTCGCCACGCAGATCTGGCAGAGGCACCTCGCGGACGGGGCTTCGGACCCCGTGAACGTGGACGCCGCAGCCCTAAGGGCGGTGTCTCTCAGGCTGCATCAAACACCGCCGCCGCAAGATCTATTTCTTCAGGTACATAGAAGTCACTAGACAACTCACGAAATAATATTGCAAAAAGAAATTTCCGTTATTTTTTTCCGATATATAGAAGTTAGATAAGTTTCTTCCAAATAGAAGCTTCCGCAAAAAAAATTACCACTTCACAACCCAAACGAAACTAATATTTGTAACTTAGCGATTACCCCTACTTTACCATTAAAAATCTCCAAGAAGATTACTATGAGTATTAAATCAGTTAGTAATATATTGTATATTTCCCTGGTAGGCCCAGAAGCAGATCTTCAACGTGATGAAGTTCGACAGCTACCCTCGTTTCCTCCGCTCGTCTGTCCACGCGGAGTGTGCGCGGGCCGACCTGCGAGGCCTGCCGCCGCCCTACGCACCCGAAAATAATAAGGTGAACATCATCTTTAATACTTGTTCTCGATGAAAAACTATATATGATGAGTTTAAAGTTCTTATGCCTTGACACTTAGCGAGTAATATATATATACATATATTCTGTATATAACGACAGTCTGTAATAAGAATTAAAAGTAGGGGTTAACCTTATATATATGTTGATGAAAAACTTCTTTGAGACTGGTGAAAGCATGCTACATACTTATGAGGATCTGATATATAATTATTGAATATACATTCTGTTCATTAAATCTTTAAAATGATGTACTATGTCCATAACTTAGTTAGTTAAAGATATTAAATTTTTTCTTTATTACGTTGAGAGAAGGGACCACAATAAATGCTAACAGACTCAAACATCAAACATTCTCAGTAAATTTATTTAGGATTAACAACGATAATATGCAAATCATTTACTATATTGTGCAGAATCACGGTTACTAATAATAAGTTTAAGCTGAGTAAAATTAAACTGCACAAGTTACATATTAGAGAGCTCTTTGTAATTTTTCCTTCATATGTTGTTATCAGTTGAAGAAGACTTCATCGAATGCGTCTGAGAGGCGCCGCAGCGGGTCCCTGCTGCCGTGGAGGAGCAGGGCTCCGTCAAGGGACAGAGATGAGGATGTGAGTATTATGAAATATATAGAGATAAGGAGAGATACATAGAAATAGGGAGAGATAGCGGAGATACAGGGAGATAGAGATTGACAGATAAAAATTTATTGGTTTTCTGATAGACTATCTATATGTATGTATATCAAATCATTATTATATATTTTTTTACAAATGTATATAAAAAAAATTCTCTCATATCTTGGTATAAATATAAAAATATAATGGCTATAAAATTTTACACATATACAAATTATATGTCCTTTTTTAAACAACACAAATATCGGTTATAATATTTTCTTAACAAATCCTTACTGACTTGTATGGTTCTATATACATTACATTCATGCAGGTTAAAAATAAATAATAATTAAATAAGAAAAGACATAGTCATTGTTAGTGTTTGTTTTATATGGCGAATGAATGGAAAATGTACATACGTGGAACAAATATTGGTAATAGCACGTGGTTGTACCTACCACCTGCCACCAATATCATATGATCATCGTTTCTTTGTAGATTATTTTATTATTTTTACTGATATCATTATGTAAATTTATCTTCATTCTAATTTTTTTCCACACCTCATAATGGATATGACACCATTCACATATCAAAAGGAAAAGTAATCACGGTTCAACTTTATCAGTGTTTTAAATAAATCTGTTTCTATTTCAGTTAGTCTTGAACCAACAAATACAAGTTTGCTTTGTGACTTCATAGGAATTTATTTTCATTCATAAATTGTTTGAATTATAAATTAAACTGAGATTATTTTATAAATAGATGTCAGAACACATTACTTTCCATATTTAATGCTAATTACCTTTTGTTGTACAATCGTAATATCATCTACATAAACTAAATGTGAGATTCCATTCTCTCGTCTGAAAACTTAATATATTAGTATTCATTGACGTTATATTGTGGTTTTATACACTTATTAACGTCTAATTTAAGAATAATTCATAATTATAACATGTTATTTTAATAATTTAGTGATTTATTTTATGTATTTAACAAAAAAATATTGAATATTTTTTTTCTAAGTTAAAGTTTTTTTAAGTTTATATAGTAGTATTTTTTATTTTATTTTGTGATTTTTATGTATGTGACATTTTTATTTTATCTTTAAATTAATATGTAAACTTTTTAATTGTGTACTGTTTATAGTTAGTAAATGTTAGGTACACTTGTCATTGACGTACATATGTTGACTTGATGATATCCTAAAGCCCCATTTATGTTGTAGGTGGTGAAGTCAAGTCAATCCAACGGTCAGTGTTCGTTGTGCCGCGTGGTTCTGCCTGACGGGGCCACATCTGTGGTCGGTGTGGACGAGGAGCTGAGCGTGAAGCGGCTCGTGGACCGGCTGCTGCAGAGGCGGAACCTGGAGTGTAACACCTATGACGTCATACTTGTCGATCAGGTACATTATAATGACTTATAATAGTTTATTGTAAACAGTATTCATTTAAATGAAACTAATATTTTCGGATTAATATTCGTTTTTTATTATTTTAACTACATACTACCGACGTTTCGGTTACTTTGTATCAACCGTGATTACGAGATTTGTTTTAAAATATTAAATTCGAGTAATTCCAACGTCGGAAAAATATAAAATAAAGTTATAAAAGTTTAATCCAAAAACATGATTTCATCTAAATGTGTGCTTGAATTTCTTAGATATCATTATACAATCACCTCGCTTCTAGTACATGCTAGCATCTTGACTGTCATACTAGTAGTACGTCTCCATAGTATATTCCTCCTATATACATATCAACCGTGTGTATGTTTGTGTGTCAGGCGGGCGAAGGCTCCACGGTCCCGTGCTCCGCCCCGTCATCCCGTCTCGGAGGTCGTGTGGCTCGCGTGGAGCGTCGCGTGGTGCTCCGCGTATGTCTCCCGGGTCGCGCCGTAGCCGTCCGCTGCCGGCCCGCGCGCCGCCTGCGACACGTACTCCGCCCCGTGTTACAGAGATACTGGCCCGAGCTCGGCTCACATCGTGTTCTATCAGCGGGCGTCCCCATTCACCCCGACACGCCCGTCGATGAACTAGATGGCGCTAGGGTTCATATACAAGAGGATGAGAACAGCAGCCCGCCGCCGGTCATTAGAGACGAAGATGGGGACTCGCTGAGTGACCTCGCGCTACGACCTGACGACCTGGACGACAACCAGGTGAATATATGATAACTAAAACTCGTTGATTATTTGTTTAAGCAAGCGTAATCGGGGAATAAGTTTATAGAACAATAATGGTGTTGCGTACAAAATACTGACTGCCAACCATCGGTTAGAATAGGAAAACAAATTGGTTATAACACATATTCAGACTGGAGTCAATAGCTGACTTATATACACGTCTTTAGCAAATAGTTAAATATTAGTCATAATTGTTAATTGAATATAGTTTTATAAGTAAAACGTAATTATTTAATTGAAGTTGTTTAGTCACGTGACATATGAATGTAAATTTTATTACAATATTATCAAAGTCGAGACAATAATGAATAAATAATGTTGTATAAAATATTATCTTAACCACGTTCCTCTTGTAACAGAGTACTAGTCGAAGCAGCGTCAGTTCTAATCAGACTGTGGACGTGGCGTCTGCCGTGAACACGTCGAGTGTGAACGTGAGCGGGGGCGGCGGCCCGGGCTCCAGGGTGAGGGCGGCGCTGCGGGCCGGCCCGCCGCTACACCACCACCCTCCTGGTCAGTATAAACACCCCTGTATATTGAAAGACCCGTTATACATGTCCTACTAGAACACCCACTATATAAAGATGAAACATTGAACTCCGTTGGCAAATAAATCATATGATTTATATAGTTTAATGTACTCCAATGTAGGAGTGCTTCTATGTTATAGGATTTCTAAAATGTTTGAAATTACGTAAGCTTATATTATATAAACAGGGACTCGAACAAAGAGCACTCAAAACTTTATTGACTGTACATAACCGTATCTCTTACATCTCAATTATTATTGATTTCCATCATAACATTTTCAGATTTCCTTGAAAACCTGCGCGAGACGCAGCGTCAGCGGCTCCCGGCACGCACCCCGCCGCCGCTACCTCCCAAACCTCGAGCACCGACCCTCGTGTGACAGACAGACATACACGACGTGTGGAACACGAGAGGAACGGACCGCCGCCCGCCGGGCGAGACACACCCGCACTCACACACACGGAGAGAGAGAGACACATACATAAAGACACACACACACACACACACACACACAGACAGACACGCACACAGACTCAGCGGGTGTGTAACATCAGTATGTACATGATACATACTAGCTGAAGGAATAGGAGCGGATGTGCTCCTTAAATTGTTTTCATAATAAGGATGTTGAAAGAGTTGTGATTCAACATTATATCGTTAAACTAATGGTTATTGTAAATATATAATATCTCATTAAAAATCTCCATTTAGTACTAGAACATATAATATATTGAGTCTATGTCTTTAGTTAGATGAAGTGCTATAAATGAATAACTAGAAAAATGTATTTATTAACCGATGACTTCCATTTATTTAGTAATAATAAAATTGTATTAATATACCTCAGTGAGAACACGAAAAAGAGATGATGAAGATTGTATGAAGCTGTCATAAAGTTTAAGATAAATAATTTATTGTTTATAAAATACTATTTTGATAAAAAAAGATTTATTGAATATATGAATAAAGATTGTATAAGAAATGTATGTATTTTATTAAATCTACTACAGAATAAGGCTGAAGTGTAAATTAAGTTAACGCAAAGTTATAAAAAACATGAAAGTAAGTTGAAATATTGAAAACTATTCTGTGCAGAAAATATAATTATGAAAGAAATTTATATAATAAAGTATAAATAATCCCTACTAATATTATAAATGCGAAAGTAACACTATCTGTCTCTCTGTTACGCTTTACGCCTAAACCACTGAACTGATTTTAATGAAATTTGGTACAGACAGAGTTGACCTTGAGAAAGAACATAGGATAGTTTTTATCCCATACTTTTGAAAGGTTCTCTTGAAAACGCGATATAACCGAACTCCATCCGAGCGGAAAGCTAGTATAATATAAAAAAGAAACCTGATGCTTTAAATTGTTAACTAAACAGAAAAAATCTATTTCAATGATTTAAACTAAGTTGGTGATTTCTATAAATAAATTCAAATCTATGTGTAAGATCACAATGATACTTGACTTATGTTTTATTTAGATATTCATCTACAAGAAGAGATAGAGAAACGATAAAGTGCATCGCATTTAGATAATCTAATATAAGGACAGTTTTAAGACTACCCAAGAAATGAAAGGCTATAAACAATCTAACTATATATTAATATGTATCATCATGCGCTGGCTATAGCCGGCTGGTTGGTTTGTTCAAGTTCCTTCACATCTTTCTCTTCTTTTCCTTCTTCTATCAGCTCTACGGGCGGAGGCTCGGGCTTCTCCCTCGTGAGTCGCGAAGGCTCTCGAGGCGGCGCCCAATCCGGTATGATCTTGTCGTGTATCCGCCACACGCCGTACATGTTGGATAGATGTTTCTCGAACACCACGTATTCTAATACGTCCTTGGCGACTATCTCACTGCCGTGAATCAAACGACCGAACCTGTCATACACGGCCAGCTGTTGGCGAGAGTGGAAACGTACTGTGATCTGGAACGAATTAATAAAATAAATGTTATATTATACTGAGACAAGCTGCGAAAGTTAGTACAAGAAGTCGCAGAAAAAATAGCTTAGGAGTAACGATTAGAATATAATTAAAGTTTCTATTACACTCACGAGATGGCGTTATTTTAAATTATTTAATATTTTTAATAATGCAAGCTTGCATATTTCTATACACTCAAATAGCTGGACGTAGCAACAAATGCATTATTTTTATCAACCTGACCTATATTGACAAACATTAAATAATCGGTCATAATAATAAATACAGGCTTATCATGATCAGATCTTCCATCTGTAGATCTTAATCGGCCGAGATCAATGATTTACAACTTGTACAATAACCTATTGAATATATCTTGACACGTAATTTATATAATATATAGGATACTAGCTTTCCGCCCGCAGCTTCGCCGCGTGGAGTTCGGTTATATCGCGTTTCCAAGAGAACCTTTCAAAAGTCTGGGATAAAAACTATCCTATGTTCTTTCTCAAGGTCAACTCTATCTCTGTACCGAATTTCATTAAAATCAGTTCAGTGGTTTAGGCGTGAAAGCGTAGCAGACAGACAGACAGACAGACAGACAGACAGAGTTACTTTCGCATTTATAATATTAGTAGGGATTTGACTACAATCCCTACTAATATTATAAATGCGAAAGTAACTCTGTCTGTCTGTTACGCTTTCACGCCTAAACCACTGAACTGATTTTAATGAAATTTGGTACAGAGATAGAGTAGACATTGAGAAAGAACATAGGATAGTTTTTTCCCAGACCTTTGAAAGGTTCTCTTGGAAACGCGATATAACCAAACTCCACGCGGGCGAAGCTGCGGGCGGAAAGATAGCGTAAATATAAAACAAATGGCAATTAAAATGAGTATTAAAAGTGTTTGTATTTCCATGAAAAAATCGTTACAAAAATTATAAATTTCATAATTGATCACGTGATTGAAAACGTACGCGCGCGGTGACAAGCGAGTGACGTATGACGTGAGTAACATTTGGGTCTGAGTTTTTTTTAATTATAAACTGTTATTGTGGTTTTTATAGAAAACAATAAAAGTATCACCAAAAAAAAAGGTATTGTAGGATATAGTGAATCGTTGAAACATTTAAATAAAACTCTGTCATACAATAAAACTTTCCGATTCAACATTTTATGATCAAATTTCGACGAAAACAGAAGCTATCGTTGTTATTCTACGATTCAACAAACGCCTTGGATTAAGATGACCGTCAAATATTGTTACTTCAATTGAACCGAGGTATTTGTTATTTTACAAATTGTATAAATATTGTAAAATAAAATTTTACCATACATAAACACTCATATATAAGGTTTAAAATCATGTAAAGTCTAAGCTTTTTTGTAATATAGATGTTTCTCAAAGATCTACTCTTGTTACAATTTTGTTGCTCATTCCTATATATTCTTTAATTTTCATTTAACACTATGTTAGTTACTAAAAGAACTAATTTTATGATTCTAAATTAAAATTAATTTAGAATATTCTTTCATACATATATATTTGATTAGTGTAGAAGTAATGCAGTAAAAAATATTTAACAAACACAAATGTATTAAATTTAATCTATGATATTTTAAGTAATTTGTTTAATCGTTTTCTTTATAAAAGATGTAATTTAAGATAAAACTTTAGATAAAGATATTCCATATTTGATACTTTTGGATCTATCCAATTCTGTAGCATTTACAATCATGAAGTTACTATAAATACCAACTCCAACACAATAAAACCTGTTTAAGACAGATGTTTTCTTAGTGGTCTTAAGGCATTTTATAATAGTCATATAAATATGTCTCCAAAATTCTAAGTAGAAGTGCTTTATAGACTATGAATTGTAGTTTATGGACTTAATATTGTCTACAATTACATTTTTAGATATTATTTATTTGAATTTTTTGTTAAAGGCAACAAAATAGAAGTTACATTGGAAATAGATTTTAAAAACAGAAATATTTAATGAACCTATAATTATACATAAATAAATATTATAAAATTCATAGAAATGTTATAACTTATATCTACCCAAATATATGTATTTGATAAAAATATATTGAATTTATTTGATTGCATTATGTTGAAAAGTTATAATAATTTTAAAAACATATATTTATGTGTATAAAGTCATCATATTAAAAAATAGCATTTGTTTAATGAATGGTTCCATGCAAGGTTCTATTCCTTTGATGATATTTCTCTTGCAATTCATTATAAAACATGAAAGTTATATCACAATTCCGATTTCTATTATATAATATATATGTATTATGTAATATGTATGATATATTTCAAATACTTCTCTGTACCTGTGCAAAGATGTTTTCCTTAGAGACAACATCAGTACATCTAGCGTGGACCACTCGTGGAGGCTCCAAAGACTCCAAATATCTCCAATGTATCGTCTTCATATGACTGTTATGTCTGAACTCCGGGTAGGCCTTCTCCGTCACAAATCGCCTCAACTCAGCCTTATCGCCTTTAGCCAAGTTTTCGTGAGCTTTAATGTAAATATCCTGAGCCGTTTTCGCGAATTCCTTAGCATCAAAATCCTCGTCGTATGATTTAATTTTTCGTATAGCCATCATCGATTTGGATTTCTTCTCTAGTAATTGTACGGCTTGCTTTGCTCGAGTTGTCGATACAAGGGATGCTTTTCCGTCACCCTCTGGAGGGATATAGGCTTCGAAAACACCACCTGAAATAATAACCATGAATTATATAAACAAATGTTATAATACTGACTGTACTGGTGACTTCCACAAGAAGTAATTTTTTATTGTTTATGATATTTAGTACAAAGAAATTCTTATACAAAAGCAGCCTAAGTCATTCCTTATTACTCTAATGAAAGTTCTACCGCAATCAGTACATTTGGTACTGATTTGAGATTAGATAGAACAAATAAACCAAAATTGTAGTTCATTTTAGTATTTTTACCATCTACAGTGAAATGTGCTTATTATACATAATATTAACAAAATACTATACAGGGTGACTGGTGAATTACTATCAATATTTAAGGAGCATGCTCGGTACATGATTCTCATTCGAATTATGTAAAAAAAATAGGTACTTAATTTTTGACCAAATTTCCGTATAAATAAATAAAGTGTGTACACGTTCCAAGTGTTCCAAGTGTGGACGCGTGCGGCGGCGTGCTGATACAACAACACGCCGCCGCGCGCGTATGTGTGAGTGTGTCTGTATACCTAATCTGTAGGGTGTTCATACGATGCGTAATTAATTACATAACTTTTGGTTAACTTTACTTAGAAGTTTATTAATATTTATGTTATATTAATTTTTATTTTGTCATATATGATCGTCAAATATCACGTCCTCAAATATCGATAGTAATTCACCAGTCACCCTTTATAAAAAACATACTATTATATACTGTAGTGATGATTTTAATAATTGTTTAATTAAATGTAAAAGACTTCTCAAAGAAAGCTTCTTAAAATGTAAATTAGTAACAAATATAATTAACAATATACTTTCAACAGAACTTGAAACTACAGTAATACTCCGCTTAACGCGACCCCGTTTTGCGCGGTTCGACTATAACGCGATTTTCAAAAATTTATTCAGGTTGGGACATTGCAGAGTATAGACAATAATGATGACCGTATCTTGAACGTGGGTCAAACGATTAAAAACAGTGTTGGGTGTTATGAACGTATTTTACAAGAACATAAACAAAACGCTACCCAAAAGACAATACATGTATTTTTTTTGTAAAAAATAGGAGTACCTATGTATTGTATAGTGTTCTTAGAATTAAAGTGATTGATTAAAATGATTTTTATATTAGTATATTAAATTTTGACGGTGTTTAATCATAAACCTCGACATACGCCAATTTCAGTTAACGCGATTTTCGTCGGAACATATCCCTCGTGTAAAGCGGGGTATTACTGTATTATTAAAAGCAAACTGTGAAACTTCTCTTACTCTACTCTCATTCACTCTTAATTTGAAGTATTCTAAAGTAGTATGATCTACACCTTATTGACATGTACAAAAAGATTTTTCCATTTACTTCATAATTATAATCTTATTTTTTATACTTAAAAGTAAACAGATAAATTCTCAAGTTTCAGAACATGCAAATCAATATATTCAACAATGTAGGAGATTACATTTAAAATGACACTATAATTCTTTATAAAAATATAGGGAAATACATATATACCAGTAGCAGAAATATAGAATGGTCGTTCTATCCAGGGTCGAGGAGGTAAAACCCCGCGTTCCTTCATCTTCTGCCTCAACTTCTCTGGAGGGATGGTGTCCGGATCCTCGTTCATGTCCGGTAGATCAATCTTCAAGACCTTCTGACCGCGATGTTTTCTGAATTTCGGATTGTAATGCTTGCTGGTTGTCGTCCGGTATGGTTGTATAACACATATTGTTGCTCGATGCCATAATGCTGAGGACTAAAAGTGTTTTCCTCTTTAATATTATGCTTGATTAATAATTATAATTCCAAAAATAAACAAACACCTACCTTGGCTAGGATTGAATTAGCCATGATTTTAAAAATGTTGGTGATGTAAAGATATCCACTTAAATCACTACCACATTTTACACTGTACCTCCTCTTTATTAATATCTATTTTTCTTTAGTTACTCTATTTTCGCCAAATATTATTTACCTTAAAAATAAAGATTTCATAACCTAGAAATTATACAGTATATACGAACACTTAAGTCAAATGTAAGTTATAACCAAATGACAAATGTCAAAGTCGAACTTGTTCTATTCATTTAGTATGTATTAATATTACGAAATAGAATTTATAATCTTAAATATTATTTAATCTTCAAAAATGTAAATTGCAGCCATTGATTAAATTTTTATTTATTTTAATGGTAACGCAGAATATATCCAAAATTTAGACATAATGTTATGTTGGACGCAACAGTAATTGTCTATTAAAAATATATTCTGCAATTTTTAGTCATATGTTTTCCTTTCAAAAAGTGATTTTGTAATAAGATATTACAAAATTCATCAAATTACCGTGCCGTATCCTTAAAATTTATTTAATAAATTCCGGCTGCACTTGAACTCATTTTACAATATAATAAACTGCTTTTATTTTTTTCCCGTCGATAGATTTTTTGATCTCTTAGGCAAAATTATAGTTTAAATTATATTTCGAATTTGAGGCACAAGTATAAAATATATGATTTTAAATATTTTATTTCTAATTGAACTATAAATTGCAAAAATATAACTTGACACAAAAATTTTGAATCGATATTCGTGACCTACTTTACCGGATATCCGGCGACTCCATACACGTTGTCTCTAGCTCTCGAAAGAATAGAGACCATAGCAGCGTTTCTGTCTTTTCTGAACAGGCGCAGTCCGAGAGAACTCGCAAAAGGAGTAAAAGGCTCCTACATAACCTGTAACTACGTGAGTATCAGTGCATACATTTGTTTTATTGCGCATAATTTTAGACAATTCCTGTCTTTTATTGTATTTTCCGTTGTGAGATTACTCAAAGCAAGCGATTATTAATCGAGTCCTTGCTGAGTCACACGCTAAGTTTTAATCAGGTTGTTGTAACGGGGAAGCGTCTGGCGTGTTCTTTAAGTGAATTACATAGATAGCTTTATAAGTAGGTGTCTATTATCTTATATTATATATGTATATTGTATTAGAACGCAATAGAATAACATGTATAGATATCGTGGGGTAGCGCGGGCGATGACCCTTCGTTGAATGGACCCTTGCATCTTCCTAATTGCCACGTGTTGTTTCAGCAATATATTGTATGAGTCAGAAGGTAGAAAAACCAGTATTATCGGGTCAACGGATCAAGACCAGAAAAAGAGGTGAGTTTTTTAATATATTTAAGTTATTTTTTATCGTGTTTCCTTCATATCATTGAAATCTAAAATGCTATCGAATAATTCGATTGTGTTAGATTAAAGTTAGGTTATTAATGCATTTTAGTTATTTCGCATTTAACTGTAAGTAGGTCGTCTTGATAGTATTGTTAGTATGAAAGTAGCTTAGCACATGCTCCAATCAATATAAGTTCGATTCGGGAACACTACTTTGTATCTACATAGCTTCCCATACTAAAGATTTAAGTTTTACACAAAAAATAGGTAGCATTTCTCAAAATTAACTTGTATATTAAAGAAATATAAATGCAACATTATTTTTAATAAATTTTTTTGTTAAATAGATTAGATAATTATCATTAATAATTATGAATTTTACTTCCACATAATTGATAAGGTGAAAGTAATTGAAATAATAGCTGTTGAAACTTGTAGTGAAAGTCTGTACAAATTTCTGTATTGTTACTTATATACCAAAATTATTTAATATGTTATTATTTTAAATCATTTTGTACTACTGAGGTTTTTATATTTGCTAACATAATTGTCATAAACTACTGATAGATGGTCATTCAAAATGACTTAACTTCTGAGTTGTAATTTGAATTAAATCTATTATAAAAGTTATTGAATTCATTAAGTAACATTATACTAATATTTCAATTATATTTGTGAATTTCATTTCAAAGAAATTACTTAAATTGATTCAAAAAGTTATTTTTTTTTTCATTGGGAGAAATATATATTATAGTTTTTTAGGAACAAAACAAATTTGTCTCATGTCGGGTCTTCTATTCTAAATCATTACAAAAGTTTTCATATAAAAAAATAAATAAAATACATTTCTTTAGGAATGTTGTGGGTACTTGTAATAAAAATGTATGAATTCCAAATAAATACTATAATATACAACATATATTTGGCACAAATATGTCAGATAGCCCGACATTGCTTTGTTTTCATTTGTATCGACTTAAACTCTGCAAAACTATGATTTTTGGCAAGCATTAAAACCGGGTCTTGGAATTGACCCAATTTATTCTCGGGTAGCCTTCTAAAGGTTAAGTTTGATATATAAGGTATCCGATGAAATTTTACATTTAGACCAAAATACAAATGATGAATATTTCATGTAGGTTCTTGACACAGTTTTGTTTGAGGTCGCGATAGTGTGGCCTTTTTAGGATTATCAAAGACAGTAACGAGGAAGTTACTCAATGCCAATGCCGTTTAGTTACTATAGAATGAATACCTTTAATGAAAAACTCTTCTCAACTGAACAATTGATATATTATGTGTCTTGTCTTGTCTGTTACAAATTTATACGAATTTTTTTGACGAAAACTCAGTTTAGCTCGGAAATTAGAATGGCATGTGATTTATGTAGCCATTTCGTGTGGTTCCCGCGGGAATAGAAAGTAATTTAGCCACGTGGCAGTATAGATGGCGCTCGTGGTGATTTACAAATGTTTACTTATACATTCCCAAATGAAAATGGACGATGATTTTATGAAATTTTATATGCGAGTTTATTGAATGTCTGTTTTATTGTATTTATATTCATATAATAAAACGAGATAATGAAGTTATTGTAAACAAAATTCTCGTTCGATTCACGATGCGTTCGTATTTATTATTATCATATAAACAACTGGTGTTATTTAAATTAATTATGATGCTGAATAATAATTTTAACTTCTGGATTTTTCGATTTGTTCGAGAAACATGATGTCATACCTATTGAAACGTTTGTCATACAAACATTTATTATTTTGTTTTTGTATTAGTTTCTGTGACGTGTTTTAATGAAATCTAATTATTTGTTAAGTCTAGATGTTTTTCGATTCACATTTCCTTGTTGTTACATAATGGAAACTTCTAGAATGTTGTCGATCTTTGAACAATTAATCTTTTAGACTTTTACATAATACAATGGACAGTAAAGACTTAAAAATTATAAAATAAGAAGAAAGAAATATATGTATATTATTCACTTAAATCTTGTCACCACAGTAATGACGCGTCACTAACAACTAACAAGACGCCCTTGTACTGATATTGATGGGGAGGAAAATGATGATTATTAGTTAAATAAATAAAACTGACTAACTCAAAAACATTTAAACATGTTAGTGAGTTAATACGTTGTACATAATGTACATGTTATTTACTATGTATTGTTGATTTTAAACAATGAAGTTGGGGCAATTATTTATACCCTGGAGACACATGGCGTCAATATGGCCGGCTTGTGTATTACAAGATTTCTCTAGAATACTATTTCATAAAATTCCAGATATTTATCACGTAACTTCGAGTATGTTGTTTTCTGTTCTTTTAATAAAGAATACCACTAAGTTGAATAATAAAGGTCGAGAAAAAATACCTTTTATAATTGAATAAAACGCGAAATATTTAATAAGCATAATGTGATTAGTATTATGTATACAAGATGCCACCGTCTAAGGCTAAAATAAGTTCAGTTTAATTGTACAATACCCCTGGTCACTTATGATAGGAAATTTATAAGGTGTATCTGATTAAATAGTTTGTTTTAGAACTGTTTGAAAATAGTCATATATGTCACTATTTTGTAGTGGTTAGTAACTTATTACATGTGTTGTTACGTAACCCTCACGTTTCTCAAGCTATTAGTTTCCCACAGTTTCTGAGCGCCCTCTCAAAGTACCTATACAAATATAAATAAGAAATATATCTTATAGTACTATACTCGCAAACACTGAAAAGAAACATTATATTTTATTAAGTCAATACGTATCTGTTAAATGAGTGATTTTTAAGTGATGTATCTATTATTATCATATATCGTCGGAGATAGTGCAAATTTGTAATATTTAGTGTTTAATTTATTTAAAATTACCTTAAAATTCGTTAATTTAGAAAATATACTAGCTCAAAATTTCTTCTGACAATCTGCTTGAAATTTAGATACGAGGAATTATTCAATGCCAGTTACCCGGATTTGCACTATCTCCGACGAAATGTTCTTAACTTTTATTTATTTTTTATTTATTTGGATGGCACATCAACAGTACATAATTAAACACTTAAAACTAAACATTTAAAACTGACACTTATCCGATGTATGTACCAATTACAGACGTACACAGCACTGCTGAATATTACTGTCTAGCTGCTTAATAATAATACTTATTTCGAGATTACAAAAAAATAAAGACTATAAAATAACTAGACTGCATATGCCGTTGTTGACGTGAGTGATATGTTTAACCAGATGAGAAAGAGAAGTATGACCCTAACGGGTTCCGCGACGCGCTGGTGTCGGGTCTGGAGCGCGCGGGGGACCTCGAGGCGGCCTACAAGTACCTAGACGCGGCCGGCTCCAAGCTCGACTACCGCCGCTATGGCGAGGTCATCTTCGACGTGCTCATCGCCGGGGGGCTGCTGCGTGAGTACCAACTACGATAAACTATAGATTAATGCGTATACAAGATTAACTTTCAATACAGCGCTCAGGAGTTCAGAGTTCCGCGTTCATTCATAGAGACCGCCGCGGTCAGGCTGCTATCTGTGTGCGTTGTTATAGACTCTGTATATTCTGAACGCTGAACAAGGAACTCCTGAACGCTCCTTGAATGCGCTGTCTTTAAAGTAACTTCATAATCAAAGAATCTAAAAGTAACTCTAGATATGTCTACTGTGTTAATATTTCCCATTTTTATATTAGAATCATCTCTGTAATATATTATAAAGTGATTGTTTAATGTATATAGTGCCCGGCGGCTCTGTGTCTATGGACGGAGAGACTCCCAAGACTAACACTTGCATCTTCAACGCCAGCGAGGACATGGAGTCGATGAGGAACTTTGAACAGGTGACCTTGAATATACATACTAATAGTTAGGCAGACCCTGGCTATAGCTGGGAAATTGCCAGGTAGATGAAGTGTAGTTTGAACAAAATGATGAAAAACATGGCTAGAGTCCTGAACATTGATGTTGAAAAAAACTTTCTCGTTCGTATTTAAACTGATTATAATAACTTACCACGTATTTTATATTGATTCTTTATTGTTATATTAAAATGAGTTTGTTTTTTTGAAGGTATTTGTGAAACTGATGCGTCGCTACAAATATCTCGAGAAGATGTTCGAGGAGGAAATGAAGAAGGTGAGATATTAAAAATACGAAATTATATTTAATAGATTAATTAATTATTAAATGATAGGTTTATAATAATACATATGGTCACAGGTGCTGGTTTACCTCAAGGGATTCGAACCTCTGCAACGCATCAAATTGGCACGAATGACTGCTCTGTGGATCGGTGAGGAGAAATTAATATATTCCTTTTGAAATATGTAAATACTAGCTTTCCGTCCGCAGCTTCGCCCGCGTGGAGTTCTGTTATATCGTGTTTCCAAGAGAACCTTTCAAAAGTCTGGGATAAAAACTATCCTATGTTCCTTCTCAAAGTCAACTCTATTTCTGTAACAAATTTCATTAAAATCAGTTCAGTGGTTTAGGCGTGAAAGCGTAACAGACAGACGGACAGTTATTTTCGCATTTATAATATTAGTAGGGATTTCAACAGATAATTTTATTACAAAGACAAAATAAGACTAAGAAGATTGTTATGTCCATAAAATGTTGTAGATTTTAAGATAATAATGTAAATGTTTAACATCTATGTACATTGCACACATTAGAGCCAGCCCTCTGTATATCGTAGTGCTGGTGTCGAAGTGATGCTACATTAAACATCCCAGCTCATTTACATGTATGTTACATACATACATGATTTAAGAGCTGTGATACATAAATATATATATTAGTTTTAAGACATATAAGCTAGAAATTAGTTCGATTCTGATATAAACACTCATTTACTGCATGGTACATGTAGAAACGTTAAAAAAAATATTGTTTTATGCCTTTTAGTTATATCATATATTTCATCATTTATCAATAAAAGATTTTGGTGAACATACATTGAAATAAAACTAATATCTTTTGTCTACCTGTGATCACGGTTGCTGCAAAGTAACCAAAACGTCGGGAGTATGTAGTTTATGTACACGTAGTTGATCCTAAAAATACGACTTGTCGTCATCAGCCTATCAGAGCCCACAGCTGAGCAAAGACCTCTTCTCACATGGAGAAGGTTTGAGCATTAATCACCACGCTTGCTCAAGACGGGTTGGTGATTTCAAACTTATAATTGTGAAACTGTTTCCTCACGATGTTTTCCTTCACCATATTATATAATATAGTCCATATATCTCTTAAAAAATAGTTCTACTTTATTTCATATTATTTATTATTTAATTTGTTGCTTTGTTTGTTATATATATACATATATATATTTTTTCTGAATGCATGCTGAGTTAGCCTTTAATTGTATTGTACATTATGTTGGCTTCCTAATAAAATAAAAATTAAATATGAGTTATATTTTAATCATATACTATGTTCCAGGTAACGGCTGTGTCCCCCCGTCTGTGTTACTGGTGTTGGTGAACGAGCACCTGTTGAAGGAGAACCTGGCGCTGGACTTCGTGTTGGAGGTGTTCGCTACTGTGAAGGCCGAGAAGGGAGTCGCTAGTCTGGTCACCGCGCTCAAGAGGGGGCAACTGGAGGGCAGGTCGGGATATATATACATACAATAAAGAGATAATATATATATATATGCTTTTGAGCCATAGATTGCTATATACAATCACATGTATGTATGACTGTGATATTGTGTCGTGTAGAAATAGATAAATTCTTAATTAAAAATGGCAGTAAATCTTGATTTACATTCATATGTCAAACTATCTGGAGATCTAAACTAGCATTCATAAGTATCATTTGCTAATATTATAAATACAATGATTCTCTATGTACCTGAATATCTAAAGACAGAATAAAATGTTGTAAAAGGATTTAGGTAAAGTTACGGAAATGTTGTCACGAAAATATGTACTAAGTAATGGTTGTTATTACTAACAGTTTGTTGGTTGATAACATGAGAGGTTAATGTATGCGTGTGATCCACCCCGACGTGTCTGCGTGGCGGTTGATGTTCCAATCGCCACTTGGCACGGCGGGTAGAGCAGTGCATCATGTACTGGCACGCAGCAGTCATTGCTGCGGCGTCATAAGTGAAGCTACACGTGTATATCATTATAACAACCAATATACACAATCAATCCGTTGAAGCCTACACTGTAATTTTTACAATGTTCTGCTTCAATTATATACAAGTTAAATTAAGAATCCATCTGTCTTCTAACTTTTACAACATTCATTTACATAAATTAAATCGTTGGAGATAGTGCAAAACCGGTTAACTAGCATTGGATAATTCCGCATATCTACATTGGAAGCAGATTATAAGAAGAAAGTTTAAGCTGAAATATTTTCTATATTAAACGACTATTAAAGTATTTTTTTTCACAATTACTAATAAATTAAACACTGAATAATTACTAATAAAACATAAAATCAATGAATCTCCCAACTAATTCTCGTCCATTTTGCAGACTGTTAGAGTTCCTCCCTCTCAATCGTCGCAGTGAGGATGTGTTGGCGAGCGCGTTCGCCTCGCGCGGTCTCGCTGAGCTATTGAGGCTGCACCGGGCGCAGGCGTCTCAAGAAGCTCGCCGCGAACTGACTCAGGCGCTTCAGGAACAACTGGCGGACGAGCGGCCCGTGAGGGACCTCATCACAGACCTTAGGGACATGGCGCAGAGGCTTGATATACCCGACCATGAGGTCGTCGCTATTGTGAGTATAGACAGACACATAGACACACCCACAGACACACGCACATAGACAAACACACACACACACACACATATAGACAAACACACACACACATATAGACAAACACACACACACACACATATATAGACACACACACATATACATCAGACACATACACACTTGATATGATGATACTCGATGACGAGTCGGAGTCGCAGGAGTCGAGTGTACGAGCTAGGTTCTAGCGAGTGTTTCGTTCGTTCTGAAGCTAGTGCAGTCTCTCCTGCGGCAGAGTCGATATGGCAGCCTGATCTCATACACACACAGACATACACACACGAGTGACATGTGCTGTATTAACAAGCCCCCCCTCTCCCCCCAAGACCTGGCAGTGCGTGATGTCCCGCGGCGAGTGGAACAAGAAGGAGGAGCTGCTGGCGGAGCAGGCCGCCAAGCATCTGAGACACTACACGCCGCTACTGGCTGCGTTCGCACAGTCCGCCAAGGCTGAGATAGCTCTGCTCACTAAGGTACATACATAATATAACAAACATTACATGTTAACTTGTAGGTTTTGTTTCACTTTAGTTGTGTGATACTAATTTTTATTTAGGTAGAAAAATAACTCCGGTTTTCTATACATAGTATGAATATGAATAATTCTCAACTTGTATCTACAACAGACTGAAATTCATTAGTGTGATAGATTCTGTAATGATCAGAATTAACACTATAGAAACATATCTGCATAGTCATCATTTTTAGTTGACCAAATTGTTAAATTATGCACTTTATGTTATTTTTATATCTTTAGTTAATTTTATTACTCTATTTTGTCATACTCATATCATTATATTATAGGTTTGATGTCTTTTATTGTGTAATACATTAAGTACAAAATATAAATTTATTGAGATGTCAATGTAATTGTGAGTTAACAACGATGAATTCCAGTGTACGGAAAAACCAATATTGGTTTATGAGACACTGAAAACTTAGACATTAATGTAAAAAATACCAACATAATTGTAATAAAATAAATAATATAAATATACATGTACTAATGAAAAATTTCCCTACCAGGTTCAAGAGTACTGCTACGAGAACATGAGCTTCATGAGGGCGTTCAGTAAGCTGGTGTTGATGCTGTACAAGAGTAATGTGCTGAGCGAGGAGGTGATCCTCAAGTGGTACAGGGACCCCAACTCGAGCAAGGGCAAGGTGATGTTCCTCGATCAGATGAAGAAGTTTGTGGAGTGGCTGCAGAGCGCCGAGGAGGGTAAGCACTACTACTATACATATATATTTATTCATTTTTTTAGATCACCAACAAAATACACACTAAAAACATTCCAGAAACATGGATAAAAAAAATAAAACTAGTGGTATCTTAATTAAAGGTGATAACAGCATGCACAAAATAAATAGTTATATAATTTGTAACTAAGTATACATTTAAATGTAACTAATGTTTTTGGATTTACTTTATAATTTTAACTGCATACTCCCCACTCTTTTAACCCGTCTTCCTGTGATCATGGTTGCTGCTAAGTAATCTAAACATCGGGAGTATGCTGTTTAAAATAAGATAATTCGTAGTAATCGACAAATACTACTTTCATTTAAACGTATATTTTACCAAGCCTATATTTGAGTGTACTAAATATTTATAAATTATAGAATCGGAGAGCGGCGAAGAAGAAGATTAGTTTAAGGCAGCGAGTGAGACTGACACAGGCGCCGTCCCGCGACCACAACCACCACAACCTCAACCACCACACATGACCACAACCACCCAGCCGCGGCCACAACGCCACTGGTCGCTCCAACCAACACCACAATACTGGCGGGACGTTTTCTACAACTGTATATTATTCATTTCTAAAGTGACATGTTGAAATAAAATATTTTTTATTCAATTTTTTTAGTAAAATTTCAAATAAACGGTGGCAACACTCGTCCGGCGTTTGGTTTTTTTTGTTATCTTCCTCAATAAAACTTAATATCATATACGTAATACATTTGTCTTCATAAATGACTTAATCTGATATACTTACTACCTTTGTTTCTTATACCACATATTTTAATATTTGTATATACTTTAAGTACCTAATATTGATTATTATTAAAACCGAAATTTATAAATTCTGAAAACAAAACCCTATTAAAATGGTATTAGTATCACAAACATTTGATCCACTACGGAGTTAAAAGCAACTCCATACTTGCAACAGCAAATTGTTCGAGGTACAGTTACTCCCAGTAATGTCCTTATAAAATGGCTGAAACAACCAGTATTTAATAATTTCCAAATACATGTTGATGTTTAAATTTGCCATTACTAAATTTATGATGGTTTAGTATTATAATTAATTATAATCAGTCATAATTTAGTCTAAGGATTATAGTATATTATAATAGTACGGCATAGATGGCGCTACTTGTAACAATATACATAAATTCATTAAAGAAATTTCTGAAAGTTAGGGAAGTGAAGTGGTCGAAAGATGCTGGAAATATTTTAGGAATAGAAAAACCTTTTCAGTCAATTAGACATTGAAGTATTTGGTGTTGTTAAACACACGTGAAGCATATTGGAAGTAGCAGAACTATCGCTAGACTAGTGGTTTACTTTAAGGAGGTAACTTAGTCTTTGAAGACTATTGACTTTAAACCTGCAGATAATAATGAAGCATTATCAATTTGACATGATACTCAAAACTGATGACAATGACAATACTTATGAAACGGTTACGAATCCCGTCCTAAAATACAGCTTAGTTTATTTTTGAGAGGATATTTGAACAGTGATTAAAATAATTCTTCAAATTCCAATAATTCATTTTGATAAAATCCTTGAGCTCTCTTATTGTTAGAAATATTTTCATTACTTAGTATACTTAAATTGCAAAAATCGTCATTCTTTTTAGATAATCTAGAAATAAAATTATGACAGGCATACTACTGTGTCTTTCTAAAAACTATTCTTTGTTGTGTTTTGTAGAATGTATTGTTAGTAATAATTATTTATAATAATTTAGGTTGTCATCAACTTTATAATTCTAGGTTTAACGTTATTTATATTCTGATATTTATTGGGAATTCTTATGATAGTTAAGGCTCGCTGCAAATGGGCCACCTACCACAGCCACTTTTCTTTTTACAAGCATATTTTCTTTTTACATATTCAAGATTATAAACAATTACAAAGACGTTTCATATTATGAGAATTCTTGAAGAACAAATAATGTTTAATATATAATTTTGATTTTTTGCATAATGCAACTAATTGCATCATTTAAATATCTAAATAAAATCATTAATTTACTGTTATGAATTGAGATACAACAATTTTTTATAATCTTTTCCTCGATTCACCTACATTTTACATCACTACTCACACAAACAGGTCAAGGAAAGAAATTCTCGCACCAGCCGAAGACTCAGAAAGCCTCTGCCCTCAAGCCACTCATTCACCCAAAGTGAACTCCTGGTTCAAAAACAAAGCCACCTCAACCACCGCGTCCGAAACAAGTCAGCGGAGTTATAAACTCGCTGTTTTATATCAACAAATGTTTCGGGGCGTTCGATCCGCCCGAACTAAGTAAGTATTAGTATTTGCAAACAAGGTCAAAGGTTGCGAAAACGACCCGATCACCAGGTTTGACGTTCGTTGAGCACGCGGCGTTAATAAACGCGATATAAAACCTCAGTAAATCATCTTAAATGGCTTCGACGCGGTATAGAATTAAAACCCGCTCTCTAAATGTCGTTACATTTAATGTTAACGGTCTCGCTCCTCAAATCCATCTGGTGCGGGACTTCGTAGTCAAGCACCAAGTAGCTATCCTACTCATTGAAGAATCCTGCTTAAAACTCAGTAGGATTGATCCTAAAATTACTAACTACAACATGGTAAGAAATGACAGGATTGCTCACTTAACCGTTATTAATTGTCTACCTATGGAACGTCATTGGACCTTCAACCTTTGCAGAGTCAATATATCTGGAAATTGGAACGTGAAGAACTTACATTATCATAGCTGGATTCGGAACCTACGTGGACATTAATGTGTTTCTACGTAAAGGGACTATAAACGACTACATCAAGCAATTTCGGACTTCTGTACACTTGAAGTTTCGCAAGAAGATTCTAAAAAAATATTAAACTTTGCAAGAATTTTCACTGTAAACTTAAACCGTCGATGGACCGAAGCACATAGGGTGCAAAAAACATTCATTAATAAGAATATGAACTTGTTAGAAACAAGAATTAAGTGGCCTGATTGTGAATCTGTGAATTTTTCTGAAATTTTTGAAGAGCCCGAAAATTTGGAGCGTCATTCTACCGAAGAACATAAAAAACAAAGTGAAAAATAATATAACTTATCGAAATAATTACGAATAAGTTAAGGGATTTACTTCTTATGTACAATTAATAGCAGTTTGTCTAAAATGAATATGATTATACACAAAATAAATCATAAGTAAAAACTTTAAGGAAACAATGAATTTTTGATTCCATAATCAGTCATAATAAAAGTCGCCATATTGTGGCGAACTTTATGAAATTATGAATGAAGTAACTCCTTTCACATATGGCAGTATTTGAAGGGAGTTACTGACAGAATAGGCAACATCTTAAGAAGGTTTCAATCAGGATTATTTACAAAACACATAAGAAAGGGAGCCAATTCTTGAGAAGTACCATTCCTTTACAACAAGCAGATTGAAAATTATGAAATCAATGGCAGTAGATGATAAATAACAAAACCAAATGACAGACATTCACATCTCGTTTGCTCGTGATCACGGTTGCTGAAAAGTAACCGAAACGTCGGGAGTATGTAGTTTTTTTACGAAACTAAAGTCGCGTAATTCGAAAAATATTAGTTTCATTTAAATGAATAAAACTCGCGATAATCTAAGATCTCATTAGTATGAAAAACTAAAGTGGTAACAATTATACTTGTAATGTAAAACCAAGAAGTATTTCTGAATCACTTTGTTTTTAATTTTAACAAAAGATAAATAAGACCACTCCTTCTTGAAGTCTTAATATATGAACATAATTATTCGTAAAGCTTTTTTAATATTCATTAAAACAATGACAAATTATATATACAAAACCAAAAAAAGCATCAGATACTTACTTTAAAAATATTTTCTATTATTTTAATTACATATTAAGCAAATAAATATTAACTTCAAATCTAACATGTTATTCTGTCGAATCTTTTTCTGTGTTATTTTAATAATATTCTCAAACATATTATTAATTGAACGTACACGTGTAAACATCTCCACAACCGACTACATCGTACGATCTTCTGTCACGGCCAAGGACTTTGTACAAAAGAATCAAAAGAGCTTAAAAAATCTCTACAAAGCACCCTTCAAGTTATCCTTGGAGGTACGAGTACGTTGATATTATGAATACGCCGTGGGACACTTCTGTAACATATAATTTTAATATCTAACAATACTAGAGATATATGATATTTATTTAAAATATTGAAAGAGAAAAAATCTTAATAGGACATGCATCAAAGAATTTCAGTGACAAAAAGTATATTAATTTCTTTATGGATTTATAATCGATTATAATATAACTATATGTAGATTATTTACTAGTTTTTTTTTAAATAGAAAACATTTATGTATATAATATTTCTGTTAAATAAAATGAACACGTTTTATGTTTTTCTTCTTTGAATATTTTTAGCCAAAGTATTGAGTTACTACGGTTATGTGATAATAAAAATAAGCCCCATTCATTATCGTAAGCCCTATTTTATATTTTGAATAGATTTCGTCAGCATCTAGCCGAGTTTGTACAGAATATCTACAATAGTTTAGGGTACTACCCTACAGGGCTTTGTGATTGTAGTACCCAACTAACAATGGAAACAAAAATGTAATGGCAATTGTAAAACTTTAAAGCAATAAATAGTTATACATTAGTTTTAGTTACTGCAATGTTGAATAACTTCTAGTTGTGCTTGAGAATTGTTACAATTACCTGGCTGGTTTTAAAATATACCTACTAATGTATGATTATAACTTAGTGTTTATTGAGAGCGTAATATATATAATATGTACTAGCTTTCCGCCCGCAGCTTCGCCCGCGTGGAGTTTCCAAGAGAACCTTTCAAAAGTCTGGAATAAAAACTATCCTATGTTCTTTGTCAAGGTCAATTCTATATCTGTACCAAATATTATTAAAATCAGTTCAGTGGTTTAGGTGTGAAAGCGTAACAGACAGACAGACAGAGTTACTTTCGCATTTATAATATAAGTATTAAGTAGGGATTTTTATTTTCGCTAATATTTCCTTTACGTGTGTGATGTTGAAATTAAAATATAGACGTCTACATAATGATTACTGAATTAACTTCATAGATATCTTAATTTTTCTTATCTAAGGAATCTTGTTATTATGCATACTAAATAATTGTTAAATATTCTGTACAATTTAATTATATATTTTAGAACTTATTAGGTTACACCTATTATAGGTACGAGCAAAGTTACACCAACCACCACAACTAAAAGAAACTTCTCATAATTTTCTAATAAAACCACATATCAATCAAATTAAACATATTAAATACAAATAACATTACTAAAAATTAAATTATTTGCGAAATGAAGTACAGAAGATTACAATAGTTACAAAAAAACATACGAACAGCTGCGAAATCAAAAG